TATATATTTATATATATATATATATATATATCTTGTTTCTTTTAGTTTAATGAACACTTTCTTGGGTTCAATTCAATATTAGTTTAAAAAGTTCCGTTTTTTGTTTTTTTTTTAAGTATTTTTATAGTTTATAGTTAAAGTTTAATGTTTAAATTTAAGTTTTACGTTGGTTTTTTAGTTTTTAAAAAGTTGCTCGAAATGAATATATATATATATATATATATATGTATATATATATAGTTAAGAAGCGCTGTGCCCTGTTGACTTGTGATTTTTTTATTTATATATATATATATATATATATATATATATGTATATATATATAGTATATATAGAACTATATTGTATTGCTAAAAAATCATAGTTCATAGTTCATAGTTGTTGTTGTAATTAGCGTTTAGTTAGTATTTGCCTAGTTGAAGACGCCTGGATTTTCAATATATTTGCTACCAGCTTAAACCGAGCAGCCAAAAATAAATCAAAAAAACTATATATATATATGTATGTATATATGTATAAACTCTTGCCAGATATTCTATAGGCTAGCTATCGTGTGTGTGTGTGTGTTTATATATTTCACTTTATGTGGGGGCACTTGATTGATTCAATTTTGCAGCTCTCTCCCTTCCTCCCTCTCTCTCACTCGCTCGCTCTTTCTCTTCAGCTTCCTTGTTTAATTTTACAAAAGTTTTTTCTTTTCTTTCTTTTTCATTTATTTTTGGCTGACCGTCGGGATTTCATTTGTTTAACAAATAATAATAAATGTCGCTGCTTCTATCTTTTTGTTGTTTATTTTTAACGCTTATTTTTTTACCCGTATTTCTAACTGGTTTATAGAGTATTTCATACAAATTGATTATACGTCTATACATATATATATATATATTTATATATATATATATATATATATATATTTCTGAGAGCAAGCCACACGTTTTTCTGATTGGTTTCTTCTATATAAATATTTTATTTTTTAATTAACTATTTCTTGGGCATTTAAAGAGTTTTAGTTTCATTGCTGTTCGTCTTTGTATTCCTACTGAAACCCTAAGGCATTTTTCTTCTTTAAATTTATATCTTTAATATATATACTAATTTTAATCTACAATTTAAATAAGAACAAGAAGTAAAAGTATGCAAAACAGATTTGGTACTTGGTTTGCGGAACTCTAACTAGATCAAGTAATTTTTTTCTTTTAGTTTTTCCATTGGAAAAAAATGCTACCAATTTGCTCTAATTGTGGCACATATGCAAAAAAGTGCTGCCAATTTTTATTTCGAAAGCACGGGAAAAGTGTTGCCAATTTGTGTGTTGTGTGCTCAGTGTTGGTAAATGTATTCAAAACGTGTGACTTGCAATAGATATCGATCATGTTTTCGAGTCTATAATTGTTGTAACTAATTAGGTATATATATATTTTTTCTTTAGTATTTTATGTATTTTTTTTGTTGTGTTTGGAAACTGAAAGAATCGTAGGTGAAACTTTTAGCTTTTAGTTTTGTTTTTTTTTTTGTTGCTTAATTTATGTAGATTTCTGCATACTACATCATGAAATATACGCACTTGTTCCAAATTGTTTATAACGTGGCTTAGAACTAAATTAAAATTACCTTGTTACCATATATACCATATAATATATATATATATATATATATATATATATATATATATATATAAGATTAGCTTAGCTTAATTTTGGTATTTTTTAGTATTTATTTTTGTATATGAAGCGCATAATGCGGGAGTTTAAAATTGTGTGCCAGTTTTTATAGTTTTTGTTATCGATAACAATCATAATGTAAACAATCGAAAAAAGAAAGCCATTAAAGAGAAATCGTTTTTCAAATGTATATATACTGAGGATTTGTAGGATACACGATTTGTTGTTTGTTTTGTCAGGCTTTGTTCTTGTTCTGTACATAGAAAATTAACATAAAAAAACATACAATACTGCGTATGTACTTTGTTGTATATAAGTGTATATATGTAAATATACAAACACATATATATACATATATATATATATATATATATATATATATATATATATATATATATATATATATATTTCTGTATAATTGTTTTTTGTTGTAGTATATATAGCAATAGTTGACGTTTGTTTCAAAATTGTTGTTGTTCTTAGTATGTTCAGTAGTTGTTGTTGTTTTTGTTTAATGTTATGTTGTTTTTTGTTGTGGGTAATATTACGTCGTACATTATAGCAGTAAATAGGTATCGTAGCTGTTGTTCATGTTGTTTGTGTGTGTGTATAAGCAACGTGGGTTCACTTAATCAGTTCAAGAGGTTATATATATATATATATAGATATACATATATATATATATATGTATAGGTCATATACACAATGTATGCAAGTGGGTGTGAGTGGGTGTGTAGGAGAAAATTGTGTTTCAATTAAACTAAAGCATTTTTTTATGGTTTTAATAAACATTTCTTGTATACAATATACACACATATACATATATATATTATGTAGATCGTGATCTATATATATATATATACATACATACATATATATATATATATATATATATATATATATATATATATATATATAAATATAGTCGTTACACAAATAAGCCACAAACTGTACAAAACATTGTACATATGTATATGTACCATAAAAAACTTATAGACAAATCCCCTACGATTTTTTCCATTTTCGATAACAATTATCGATCGATAGAGCATTACGAATACGACGGTTTCCAAGTATTTTTTTATTTTTTCTTTGCTAGGCTATTTAATTGTTTCTATATATATATATTTATATATTTAATTATTTATGTATATCGATCATTATATTTATCGATATTCGTTTGTTTTTTTTTTTTATTTCATTTGTTTGGTATTTAACAAGAACGATTATTATTTATTAGTTTATTAGTTTACTATACAAATGTCTCGTGTTTTTTATTAATATTGTTTTTTTTTTGTAATTTTATCTTTTATATATATATATTTATATATATATACATATATATATAAATATTTAAAGCTTTGGTGGCGGCAAAAAATCGAAAAATCAAATGAAAATTCATAAACATATTTCGAATAAAAATGGTATTTGAAAAAATTATTTCAGTTTTAGTTACACACGAAAATTTAAGACCGCTTCAGTATTTTTAGTATTTTTTCTTTGTTTACTTTGTTTTTGTTATACACATTCATACATATTCAACAAATAAAAGAAGGTTAACAACTAACAAAAATCAATGAATAATTAACAGTGTTTTGTTTTTGTTTTTGTTTTTTTAGTTTTAGTTTTGTTGACCAAAAATGAGGCAAAATTTATTTCAATATAATTCAAGTAATTCATTTTGATCATCGATCATCAATCACCAATCAACAATCATGATTTATAATTCATAATTCATGATACATGATGCATGACTCATTCGTGATCCATGATTCAATCATGATCCATGATTCATGATTCATTCATGATTCATGAGTCATTCATGATTCATTAATGATTCATATTTCATAATTAATGATTCATGGTTCTTAACTCATAATTCATTGATTGTTAATAATTCACGAATTATTACTCATGATTCACATTTGATGATTTTTTACTCCAGATAAGTGAAGATTCATGACTCATAATCCTTTAATTATCAATCATCCATCATAGTTCAAGTTATTCATCATCATTCATCGAGCATCAATCATAAATCAATAATCATGAATCGCCAATTATCAATCATCAATCATAAATAACCATTCATCATTCATCATTTATTATTCATCATTCACCAATCATAATTCATAATTCATAAAATACATAGTATAAGCAATTAGTACTGAACTTTTTAAGTTTTGGCAGTACGCATTTGTTGTATTAATATTAATTGTAATTGTTTTTGTTTTGTAATAGTTTAAAATTATGCAAATATACAATGTAGTTTTGTTTTGTTTTTTTTTTGTTTATGTTCTCTATCATAAATCGTACAGCATTTATGTTTTTTATTTATCTTGTTATTAAAATATATTCATAACGCGCTACTTAATTGTTTAAAAAGTTTTTGGTTTTTTGGTTTCTTTTATTTATTTTCTTATTTTCTTCTTTTATTTTATATTTAACTAATATTAATAAACAAATTTTTAACATTTCTCGTTCAACAGTTTTTTTGGTATTTTTTCATTTTTTTTTTAGTTTTTAGGTTTTTGTTTTCCTTTTCCTTTTTTACTGATCGCAGCCAAAAGAACTCGAACTGATGCACCCCGACAAAAATATGAAAATTAAACATAAAAGAGAGACATAAAATCTAGCTACAAATGAAAAAGAGCTCAGACATATATATATATATATATATATATATATATATATATGTATTAAATAAATACTAAATTTGCATTTCTTTGTTTTTTTTCACTAGTTGTAAACATAAAATGTTTTTGTAGGTTATGTACAATATTTTCTGGACTTTTGTTTAGTATTTTAGTATTTTCTCTACTAAGATAGCGGATAGAGTGCTACGTATGTGTGTGTGTGTGACATCATTGATAGTTGTTGTTGTTACTGTAGTATTATTAATAGTACTGCATTTCGGTGTTGGCTTCATCTGTCTTCGATCTGTCCGCATTATCCATAGATTCCTTTAAAGTTGCTAAAGTTCCGATTTTTTTTAGTGTTCATTTAACTGCTATCACTTTCGTTTGTTAATGTTAAATTTTGTTGCTTTCTTTTTTAAATTGTTCTTTTATAAATATGTTTATAGTAAAATACAATTGGACTAAACAAAATGTTCTTTCATACAATATTTTGTGAAAAGTTGAAAAGTTTCGGGTGTGAAGGGGAGAATTCTCTTGGATGTGTTTAACGGATTCTCATTTGTATATATTATATATATTATATATATACATACATATATATATAAATATACATAATATAATTATAATGTTATTTTATGTTGTTTTCAATTATATTTCGTTTTTAGTATTTATTTATATTTTTTAGGCTGTCTTTAGGAATTTCTTTTTTTAATCATAATTTCTCCTTTTCTTTTTCCTGCAATATATAGAAAACAAATGGCAAAAAATCGCATATAAGTCAAAGAGATTGGCGCAATGTGACACTAGAAGAACATATTGAAGGTCAAAGTGAACTAAATGAGCAATCAATCAATCAATCAGTCAATCAATACATAACAAGAAAACTAACAAAGAAATCAAAAATTTACATTAGAAAACAACAAATAAAATACTAAAAAATTTGTTTTTATTTTTTGATATTTTTAACTTTTGTTGTTGTTGTTGCTGGTACAAATATTAGGCTACTTGTTGTTTTTTTGTTAATAATATTATTGTTATAGTTGTTGTTGTTGTTTGTTGTTGTTGCTGTTTACGGCTGCACGCTGGGATTTGGTATTTATTTTTTTTGTTTTTATTTTAGGTGGAATTGAATCGACTATGATTTACTTTTTTTGTTTAGCATTAGCGACAACAATCGATTCAATCAATCAATCAATCAAGCTGCAGGCTGTGGCATTTACCTATTTACTTATGCATTAATTATTTACTTATTGCGAATTTTATCAACTACGGCATACGAAACACAATTTTGTTAGTTTTTAGACGATGTTTTTTTTTGGTTATTTTTCGATTTTTATGGAGGGGAGGAAAACAAGAAAAGAATGAAATACAATTTGATTAGCTCTTCACATGATTAATTAGCTACACAAATTTCTTTTTTGGCACTACGAATTTCGACGTTTAAAGCTCTCAATGGAACTGAAAAAAATTATAAATATTATAAAAGAAGCAAACATATAGCGATAATTCCCAAAAAAAACAGAATTTTACTGATCTTCAATTAATACTGTTTAAATATATACACATGTATACGTATATATATATAGTTTTTTTATATATTATAGTTGAGTAGTTGGGAAGATCTCTATATAGGCTATACAGCAGCTACAGATACATATATATATATAGGCAAATCATATACAAACACACAAATACACAAAGTGTGAACATTAAAAATGCATTTTATATTTCAATTGTTTTTTGTATAATTTACAGTTGTTTTTTGTTTGTTTTTATTCATTCTATTTGAAATCAATCTCAAAAATTATAAGCGAAAAAAATAGCACAAAGTTGTTGATTTTTTTTATATAAATGTAATTTAATTATAATATTAATAATAGACGGCAAAACAAATCATATAAACATAATGCTAGACATAGCGGTAAATATATATATATCAAATTATTCACACAAAAGAAATTTACAAATAAAAAGTAAAAGAAAAACAAACTGAAAAAAAAATAGAAACAAAAAGTGCGCAAAGAGAAAACAAATACTTTTCTGTGTGTAGGTGTATGTGTGCAGGTGTGTGTGTACAGACTAATTAGTTATAGGTGCTCAACAAATGACAATCAAATAGAAAAAAAGAAATCAATAAAACTGCAATTAAGAAATTTTTTTGTCGTTTTTAAACTAATTGTAGCCGTGTTTCTTGTTGTTGTTGTCGTGTTATTGTTTATAAACAAAGAATTTATTGCCAAACATTTTTTAAGCTTAGATAGTCATTTATAATAAGGCATAATAATAATATACATAAGTAACGATAGATATATAGAATTGATAAACCTTCTGCATAATTTCACTTTCATTCAAGGCTAATTATTTAAATTAGAATTAAACAATAAGTACTTAAAAACAAAGTTCATAACATGTTCTTTTTTCTCTGAAATTGTTTTTACTTTTACATTCAAAATCTTAATATGATGCACTCGATATAAACCAAAAAGATGAAATTAATTTTATTTATAAGTTGGGGCAACAGAGAGAAGAAAAAGAAATTAAACAAAAAGCGCAGCAAACAATACAAATTTTATAAGGCATACTTTTTTATACATAATATATATATATATATACTAATATGCTTGCATAATTATATATATATATAGTATTATTATATGGCTATAAAACTACGCTCAGTGTGTAATGCTTGTGTGTGTTGTGTTGTGTGTGTTTGTCAGTTTTAAAGCACAAATTTAGGTTTTTAATGTTTTTGTTTTTTCGTTTAGCACACAGTTTAAATTAGTTTTGTGTTTTTTTTTTTTTTGTTTAATGTTATTAACTAGGCAGCACATAAACAATAAATTTAATTATTGAGTTTTAAGTTTCGTTTTTTTTTTACCATTTTATTGGCACGCAAAAAGCTGAGCTTTAAAATATATTGTGCACTAAGTCGTATGCAATATATATATATAAATATAAAATACAAAAGCAAAATATACAAAAAATTACATTTGTTTTTTTTTTTTAATTTTTCCTTAGCTGCATTTGCGCGCCAACAAAATTATATATATATTTGTATATATTTATAAATACTTGCATTTATATAAATATATATATTTGCTTTTTTATTATAATTTTCATTTTAAATTTTGTTAACTAAGAAAAATTTTGCTAAATTTGTTGTTGTTGCTGCTGCTGCTGTGTCTGTGTGTAAGTACGTTGCTTATGTCTCTCTGTGTGTGTGTGTGATTGTTGTGTGTGTGTCTGTTGCGCATTTGCGTATGCAGCTTCAAACGTCTTTAATTTGCAGTTTATTAACTAAAATGTAAATTTGCTGCTGCATTTCAAATTGTTACAAAATATTTGGTGTTGTTTGTTGTTGTTGTGGACTGCTTGTTGTTGTTGTTGATTTCATGTTGTTGTTGTTGTTGTGGATGTTGGCAACTTACTGTTCTTGTGGATCAGTATCACTCTCTTCCAGCTCGCTCTTGTTGCGTCTCTTCTCATAGATGAGAATGATCAAACAAAGTATCAAAACCTCAGCACAAATGCCAAGGAAAGGCCACAAGGCAGCGAATTTGCCTGAAAATGAACGAAACAGTTACATAGATATACAGATATATGATAGGGCATTGAATATTGTAATTTACCCTTAACACGAACGGTTACAACATCGGTGGCAACGGTGCTATTGGCATAATCATTGGCCTCATTGCGTCCATGGCATTTGTAATCGCCTCTATCTTCCAGTGTCACGTTCTCAATCATTAAAATTGCATTCTCAATTTTATTATCATCCGCTTTCAATATATAACGACCTGTGCTATTTGTGACATTTGTATAATTGCCTGTGATAGAGAAGAGAAGAAATTGAAATTAGGCTTTGTTATCAGAACAAGAGAAGAGAGATAGTCTTTGACTTTAGCCGAAATTGAAGCATATTTGCAGTCTTTAGAATTATTTATTCAGCCTTTACAACAAGTTTCAAGCCAGAAACCCTTAGGTTAGATCACTTACCAAAGCTCCATGACAATTGAGGATTGCTACCGAGAACTGTGCAGGGTATCAACATTTTCTCACCCTCTACAACACCAGTATTTGAAGGCACTCGTACAACCACGCGAGCTAATGAGAAAAACACAATGGTGTATTAAGTTGTTTTCATTTTTATAAATGCATCACGTTAATTATCTATTTATTTACTTACCAATCACGTTAATATCTTTGGACACGCCCTTGAACTCACAACTGTAGAGGCCATCGTCGTGAGGTTCCGCTCTGTCGATTATGAACTTTCTTTCGGCTTGGATAAGTTTAAAGCGACCTCTCAGTGAGGAGTCATCCGTCACATTGACGCCGTTCTTTTTCCTATTTATACATACAAAATGGATTGAATAGTAATTAGTTAAATTTCGAAGAGCTACAAAAGAAGCTAATCGATAAATTTACAGCACAAATATCAATAGCTCTACACAGAAATAAGTAATGCTAACAACACTATCTTAATAGCTTTAGCAAGTAAAAGAACTTTTTGTTTGTTTTCCCCCCCTTTGCCCACACTCGAAATGTGTTATCGATAACTTTATTAAACATATATTGATTAAGCAATGTCGACAGTTGTTTAGTTCTCAGTTTAATGAGTTCAAATTAGCTACTTTCTGAATGACTACAATTAAGATATGTTATCGATATTTTTGTTTTATTTATCGATTATTTTCTGTTTGAAGTTTAGCTTTATTTACAATTGAAACATTCCAAGTATTTGGTAGTTATAGCAACTGAGGTAATTCTATTTCCACAGGTCGCTGGTGGAAACAATCGATAAATTTGAAATCTATTGATATGTATGTAAACATTTTTAATGCATGTGTCTTTCTACCTTATTTTCCTATTATAAAAATCGACTACTTAAATACCTTTAGGTAACTACCATATGTTTATAGATTTATGATGCTTTTATATCGATTTTCAGGAGTTTGACTTATCGAAACATTTCGATTACCAATATAGATTGAGCTCTAATAATTATTAGGTGTTTTTTCTATATACCAAAATTATAAACAGTTCTCATTTTAAGCCAATAATTACATCTTCCATATTTGATCGGAAAACTATAGTTTTTATAGAGCTAGGGTTCCGAGTTGCAGCTTGCCTTATCCGAAAAAATTCCATAGACCCATATATTTATTTTTATTTAGTTCAAGAACTTTTGGTGCCAATTATTCAGGACTAATTCAACGTGAAGCACGCAAAGCAAAGTTTTTTGGCCCTGGCGACCGACAAAAAGTGTCATTACCATTACGAGGCCTGTTTCACACCCACCGACCCAAACACACACACATATATATACCAACTAGAGTCGGATAAGCCCACTCCCTGTAATCGGGCACTTTTTAGCACACACCCAACCTCCCAAACCCCGACAACCGCCGCCTTTGCTATGCTCTCCAGGTTACGTCAGTCAAGTGCTTGGTTAAGGGGGCGTGGCTGGGCAACATAATTAAGCAAAAGTGCTTAGCTGTGCCGTATTAAAATGATTGCTCTTATAACTGCCAACTAGTATGCAGAGCTATAGGCCAGAGCCAGAGCCAGAGCCAGGGGAGACGCCTGACTGACGGACTGGCTGCCTGCCCGACTGTCTTATATCTGTCTTTCTATTGGCTAAGCTAAGCGTACACTGTAAGAAAAAAGTGGCTGCTTGTTATCATTAATGTACAATTGAATCATAACTTTTATATTTATATTTTTTTAAATTTTATTTTTAGAAATTATTGTATATAAAATTTTTTTTTGTTCTTCAATCTTCAGCTTCATTCAATAATATTTTTACAAAATATTTTCAAGTGTATGCGCTTTTCTTTCAGTGTATGTATATTTTAGACTTACCATATGAGTGGATCTTCGGACTCCACATTTTTCACATTGCAGCTGAGCACAAGCGGCGTTCGAATATCGTAAAATTTGAGTTGACGCTCCACATGGTCATAATTTGGCACCAAGGAATCTGGCCCTGAATCGAACATAATTATATAGCCACACAGAAAGAGAGAAAGAGAGAGAGAAAAACATCAAGATAATGCAAATATTTATCAAATAAAATAGATATATTTATATCAAATATATACAAATCGTATATCATAAAAGAGTAGAGGAAGAAACAACGTTTACATAAAAAAATTTTATCTAAATAATTATGCATATAAGAAAAAAAGAAAAATATATATTGATATATAGATAAATGGTAAAGTTTATGGTAGGTATAAATATATAAACGAGTTTTTTTGTAGAGGCGAGAGCTTAATATATGAGAGGTGTTTAGGGGTTTTACGCAGGGTTTCTATATATTTTGTAACGATTAAATTGATAATCTGAGAGCTAGAAATGAGCTGAGATGTTTGAGGTATATAGATAAATATATATATAAATATATATATATATATATTTCGTTGATTGTTTTCAAAACTCTAACAAGTATTTATGTTAAAAATAAAAAACATAAATTGCAACTTAATTCAAATATACCACACTATATTTGTACTAAATAAAATCAAGTCTAATAAATTTGCGAACACAATTTCAATTACATAAATTCAATATTTTTTTACAGCTCCCATATAAAAAAAATTAACCCAAGTTAAAGAAAACAAAACAAAAGTTGACTAAAATAAATAAAAAATATTTTTATTATTTTTTTAATTTTATTTCGCCTAAATATACATAGGTAAATTTATATATTTATTTGAATTAAATATATATATATATATATATATATATATATATATATATATATATATATATATATATATATATATATATATATATTTTTTTTTTATTATTGATATTTTTAACTTGGACTGAAATCAAATAAATTTGACTTACGCGGCATATATATTTATATATGCAATATGTAATAATTATAAAAGTCGTTTAATTAATTTTTAGTTTTAAAATTAGCTGCAAATGGAGCAATAATCGATTTTTGGCATTTAAATACTAATTATTATTCATAGTTATCGAGCGATAAGCAAAGTAAGTCTAAAGCTAAAGCAACAGCTAAATTTTCGATAACTGATAATCGATAAACATTAGGTCACATACAAGTATGACACAGACACAATACATATGCATGTATTAGATTTGTCCTTATCGGCATACGAAAAACAAAAACTAAAACTAAAGCAAACGCAATCGAAAAAACAACACAAAATATACGAAAACGAAAGAATAAAATGAAACAAAAGGCAATAAACATTAAGTCGCGGTTACACACACAGTCATTGGGGGCAAAACAACAATGCTTATCAAGCGGCTGAGCGCCAATTCTGAATTACACATGGATTTAATATGCGTCAAACAAAATGGCTGCCAATCAATCAAATTGAAGAGCCGGAGGTTAAAAAACACAAAGAGAGGCAGAGAGAGAGGCCGACCGAGACAGAGAGAGGGGAGTAAGTAAGGCGCTGTGCACCTGCCAGTCGTGTGATTCAAAAGCAAAGGTAAACAACTAAAATAAAACGAGTAAAATATATTAATATATGTATATATTTATAACACATAACAACAACAATGACAACAACAATAGCGACACACACAAATCTAATAAAAAAGTAGCAGTAAGAGTAAAAAGAAATATATCAAGCAACAACAAAATGAAAAAAGCTCAACTTAAAGTTTTGCCTATATGTATATATGTATGTGGATTTGTTTATGTGTGAGGGCGAACGAGCTTAAGTATCGGCGAATAGTCAAAGCCTAAGAGAGCTAGCGAACGATTAACGATTGACAACACCAAAAATAGACTAAACGATGTGGGAGTTTGAGCAATGTAGACGTGCTGATAACGATTGAAGGAGAGCGGGAGAGCGAGAGAGCGTGGAGAGCATGGCGAGCGAGTACGAGCAAAAGAGCGAGGCTTAGACGAAAAACAAAAAAAGAGTTGGACGAAAGTGAGCTTTGGATGCGAACACGATGAGTGAAATGCAGTTGCTGTTGTACAGGAGAGACGAATGACTGAGTGAAATGTTAAGTGAAGTTCGCGTAGTGTTTTTGTATATTAGAGTTGCACTTGGTATTTCAATTCACTCAAGTGATTCATTAACAATTCACGATCGTAAATATCTTTATTGGATTAAAGTTGAATTTTCATTTTATTAAATAAATAGAAAATTGTTAATGTTCCTATTTATACACACAAAAAAATTATAACAATTAAAAGTTAAGAGCTCGTTGAACACGTAAAGTGAACTACAATTAACTATGTAATTTGACACGTTACTAATCAAATTAACCATTATATTTTACGCTTTGACACGCAATAACTCAAAAGCGATATGAACTGTAATTAAAGTTTCCAGTTCTATAATTTAGCTATTTGCAGCACAACTCTAATATGTATGCACGTGTGTGAGTGTTATATCCTGAGTTTTGTCTGTATGCAATTTTGAGTGAATTTTGCTTAGTATGTATATATGTTTGTATGTATGTAAGTGAGTGAAAGCTGTATGGATGTGTTTCTATGTCGCTTTAATTATGTTTGTATGCGTTTTGTAATGTTGTGTTAGTGTAAGTGAGAATGTCAGTGAGCGAGTGTGAGTGATTGTATGCGTGTGTGCGTATGTGGCTCACCCTTTTTAATAGGCAAGATCGTCTTGGGCTGCTGCTGCATTAAACCGAAGTTGTTGCTGTAGCTGGTTGTTAGCGCTGTGGGCGCTGTTGTGACACTACCACCACCACCGCCCACTGCAGGCGGCACAAAGTGCGGTGCATATGTTTGATATTTCTCATTGTGATGCTGAGTAGGTTGCTTTGGCTGCGGCGGCAGCGGCAGTTGAAAATTGTTTAGCTGTTGCTGCTGCTGTTGTTGCTGCTGCAGCTGCTGCTGATGATGCTGCGCTCGATGATGCACTGTGGCAGTGTCGATTGGCGTTCGATAAATCGGTAGCGTTTGATTGTACAGCTGTATGGTGGGTGGTTCGGGTGGCGCCACCGTATGCTCCAGCACGCTTAAGCGTGGTGGTGGAAAATCTGGCGGCGTGGCTGAATAAATGCGATGAATTCCATTAACACCTGCCTGTCCGTCAGCTGTTGTTGTGGCATGCCACGTGCTCAATTCGTTGTATCTACGTGTTGTAGCTGGCTGCTCATAGCTGCCAAAGCCAAAGCTGTGGCTTGTGGCATTGCCTTGTTGATTGTGCTGCTTAGAGGATTGTGACGGCGACTCCGAATGTTGCGGCAGCTGTTGCTCTTGCCACGTGCGCGTAAATATCTCATCGGCCGAGCTGGGCGTCAGCTCATCGATAGTTCGATAACCACTCTCTGTCGGTGTCCCCGATTGTTGCTGCTTACTGTGCACGTGTAGCATGTGAAAGCCGCTATCTCGGCGATGATTTTTGTTGTTGTTGCACTGATAACGACCCTCGTGCACCTTCAGTGCATGCCGCACCTTCAAATGCGCCTCGATCTTGTGCTTTTCGCCTGGAGTTGGTTGATTGATTGTTGCTCGGTCTTCATCAATCGTCAATCATCAATAAATACTCACCTTCAATCGCGCTCTCCGATAGCGTGTAGGAGTGCTCGTCATGTCCATGCCGCAAATTGTGACGCGTTATCGACTCTCCATTCTTTAACCAGTGTATCCGCTCAGTTATCGGTATGACGCACGTTATCGAAAATGGCTCGCCGATATTGACAATCGCATCGCCATAGTAAACGATTGGCGTGGTAGCCAATGCGAACTCCGATGATTCATCGCTATCATTCTCAATGATGCTCGCTGCATTGCGATTAATTTAATCCACAAATATGCATATACATAATATATATGTATATATATATATATATACATATACATATAAAGAACACACACAGCAAAAATGTTACAACAAATCGATATATCGATAGCAAAGAGCAGGTTGAAGGGGCAAAGGGAAAGGAGGAACATCATTGAAAATCAAGAAAACATTAACAATTAACAACAACATAAAAACAAACGATTTTTTTTTAAATTAGTCTTTTTTACACTCCATAAAATATATGGCTACTATAGCAGATGTGTGTACGATCCGATCCATTTCGTTTCGATCGATTGTCTGTGTATTATTTTATCGGTTAGAATTGTTTGCTTTTGTTTCGTTTTTTGTTTTCTTCTCTTTGCTTTTTTCGTTTTGTGTTTCCAGTTTTCGGATTATTTGATTTCAGCGCCAAGTTGCAAAAATATTTATGTAGATATCAATTTATTTATACTAAATGTGTCGTAAATCTTACTTACATATACACATAAAAGATATATACAAAAATAAAGAAATGAAAAAAAAAACCGATTATAGAACTGAATAAACCAAAAATTCAAATTAAAGCTAATTAAAATTATAAATGTGGTGTGTGAGTGCTATAATTAAGACCAAAAACTGTTTATAGTATTATTTTTTTTAAATTTACAGTTGGTTTCCATACTTATCGATAAGCGTTAAAATTATTCGATAATATGAGTAAAAGTTGTTTAGGTAGTTTATAAAATAGTTGTAAATAGACCTGACTATTGATATAAATTTCAATATTCAAATATATTTAGAGAATAAAGTAAAGAATTATTATAGAAACAATCCAAACAGATTATGTTATAATATTTAAATATTGTTTTTGGATCCAGTGTTATTTTAATTATAACTTCGATCGATAATTATCGATAGCAGATTGCTAATCATTATTTTAACAATATATTAATCTCGTTTCGTAATACTTAGTAATACTTTCAAGTGCCTGCACATGCTAAGCACATGATTACACAACACTAAAGGGTGATAATTAACAAAGCTTCTATTGCTGACGCAACTTGTTTAAGTTTACCATCGAAGAGAGATTGCAATCAATGTCGTCATTCAGCTAGTTACAGATGTATGTATGCAGATATGTAAGCCTCTACGTGAATATGTCTGTGTGACATTGGGTAATGACGTCAACAATGACGTCAACAGTGTCCAGTTTAAACTGCATATTCTTAAGCCATGGCCATATACACGCATATACAACTGTATGCATGTATGTATGTACCTGTAGTGGAATGGCCATGTGCCGGTTTTTTTTTTTTTGAGAGAATGTTATCAGTTAACTTGGCTTATCACTGGACGGTAGGTAACAAGTACTTTTGATAACTAGAAATAAGCAAAGGCTAATATGGCAATAAATATATAGGCTCTAAGATTACAATATATATATTTGCTGATTGCTGTTTACGTATAGATAAAGCCGCAATCTTATCAGCTGTTTTAACGAGTCAACGGACATAGTCTTTATTTGTCGCACATTGGATGATTAGGCACACACACACATGCATATAAATATACGTGTATGTACTTAAGTATGTGCTCGTATTTGCCTTTCCTTCTCAGCTGACACTTTTATAGCAAATTAAGCGCAAAAAGATTGCAGACAACGCAATTTCATTTACAAGCAACAAGATGTCGCTCCATCTCCCTTCCTCTGCTTGCCAGCATTTTCGTCTGTTGCTGTCACTTCGGACAGCATAAGCGCACACACACACGCATACGCATTACATTTACATAGAGCATATTGCAGCATAGGATAGAACGGGAGGCGGTGACCCAGTCGAAAAGTATTATAAATTTATACAACATCAACACATACGCACATACACACACGTGCGGGTATAACACACCTTAACATTCTTATACTCTCACCACACACACTCTCACACGCTCTCTCTCACTTTGTCTCATTACACACAAGCGTTTAACCACTAAGCCTGCTGCCATTTTGTTGTTGTTGGTGACAAGAAATTTATGGTTTATTGCTTGTTCATGTAGCATAGTTTTTGTCGCATTCCTTGTTCCAAATAGAAGAAAGAGCATGCAAAAGCGAGCGCCAACTAAAACTTTATTTAATCAAATTTATGGCTGCCAGCACATATACATACACACCCATACTCATATGCATGCACACAACATCCCTCTCTCTGTCCTACATCTAACGCAGCATATGAATAGCGGACTCGTGACATATTGTTATTGGCATTCGTACGCTTAGTATGTGTGTGTCTGTATATATGGATGCGTACGGTTGTGTGTGCATGTGTGTACTAACGCTCATTACATTTTAATTTTTCGTTTTCGTTTTATTATTTTTTAATGAACGCATTGAGCTGTAGTGCAACAAATAGCCCCATGCTTTTGTTTCACTAGAAAATGTTATAGCCGAAGGCAATTAAAATATTTACAAAGAGAATTTGCGCAAAAAAAAATAACATAAATGCCGCAACAGCGAGCACGAAGTGCGCTTATACAGAGAATTTTCTACAAGCAATAGAGGAAAAAACATATAACAAAATTAATTAACACGAAACAAAATTGATTGCACCTATATTATGTACCTATGCGTGTATGTGATTGTCTGTGGGCAAGTGTGCGTGTGTGTGTGTCGTTATTTTTGGCAGTCGTTGTGCACGTGAAAGCACACAGTTTGAGAGTCATGTTGTAAATGCCTTTTGAGGACACTAATGAGCGCAATTTATTCGGGTTTAAGGTTAGCATAAATAAAACAAATAAAAAAAAGATATATATATATATTTACTTAAAATAAATGCTAGTAAAATTGCTTGACTAAATAGTGGGGTTGTAAAAACTTGGCAATCAAGTGTAGACACCGGCTGTAAAGCTCTCTGTTCAAGAGTCGAATGGAATTTATATTTGTTGAGAATACACAACAGACCATGAAAACGATTTGTATTGATTTCATGTGACTTTCACACATAAGTACACATATATATATATATATATTTATATATGTAAGTTTTGAGCAATCGAACGGGTTGATCGGTCAGTGAACGCACAACGTGAAATTCATTAAGTAAATTGCATGAAACATGCCAATTAAATGCAAAACCAATTCGCAACAATTGACAAACGAGCGCAAAATAAAGCAATTCCAATAAAACAACAACAGCAAGAAAAAGAAGAAACAACAACTGCAACAGTTGCAAAACAAATACGATTATAATGCAAATGCAAATAAACCGGGGGAAAGAGAGGGATCCACCGAGTGCGAGAAGGGTGCCGTACTTTGCCGTAGTGGAACAAAGACAGCACCCTGTTAATGCACTGTACACTTGACACGACGCTGTTAATGGGATCCCGCCTATGGAACATAATAAAAATGTGCAAACTAACCATTATGATAATCATGCTTATCACAAACAGACAGTCAGAGAGATTTATAAATAGGTTCATACATAAATATTTAAATACGCAACCGAGTTACTCGCTAAAACAAACAAAATTGTTTGAAAACGGGGAGAGGAAGAAAAGCTATGGCAGCTACGCTGACTGCGACTGCGACTGCGACGTCGAATCATGTGTCTGGGCAGTGAGCGCACGCGAGTATACATGTGTCTGTGCTTTTTGCATGTGTGTTGGTATGCGACTTGCTGCTGGCTGCTGTAAATTGAAATAAAAAATTGTTTGTCTATTTTAAAATTAGCAAAAGCAACCAAAATGAAAATGACTATTCGTCTGAGCGTCCGCGTTCTACACGCTCACTACACTGCTCTCTGCCCTCTCTTGACCACTAAAAGAGGTTTCACATCCATGCGTGTGTGTGTGTGTGTGTACACAAAAGTTTTGCAGTTTTTGGCCACAGCAACAACAACTAGTGTTGCCAATTTAGCTATTTTTTTTCGAATTTGGCTTGAAATTAAGTTCGTGGAGAAAAATTTAAATTGCTTGCAAATATTTGTTTGCTTTTCACATGGCTTTAGATTATAAAAAAGGTAACTACATTTAGTTTAAGTTAAAAATAAAACATAGAAGGTTGAATTTAGACTTTTGCCGTGACAAAAACTAGGTTTCAGCTAGTTCAACGTTGCCAACGCTGACAACAACAGCAATAGTATTTGAACTGTAAATGTATTAAAGCTCAAGAGCTTGAAAGAATATATTTGATTTGTATTTTGTTGCTTTTTGGCTTTTTCTGGCAATACACATTAAAGATTTAGGCAAACAAACATTAACAAAACACTTGTTTAACGTTTTCAAGTATGTTGAAAGCAACAGAAAAAAAATACATAGTATATAATCTTGAATGTTGCTGCTGTTGTTGTTGTTGCTGTAGCCGTGAAATTCTGCGTCAGTGTATGGCGGCTGGTGTGTACATAAATATTCTATTTGCCTTGTAGTTGTCTAATTAAACGAAATAAACATTAGCTAAATTTAATTTCCAGCTCCCAAGCGATTTAACTTGAACCAATTGGATTACCGCACAGCACAGTTGAAAAGCAATTGGTAACAAATTGCTGATCGCAGCGAACAGTTTTAACAGTCTGAAAGAAAGGCAAACGTCATTCTGGATGGCTGGCTGCCTGGCATATTGCTGATCCAATAAATAATGCAGAAAAAACATGTCAGACAATTTTGAATATTTCATACGGCCTTCTTTGCCCGTGCCAGACATTTATGTCAATTATTATTGGCTTGGCACAATTGAAACCAACGCAAATTGATTCGAAGAAAACTAAATGGACACACAAACAAACACACATACATATACACTTCTACATATTTATTACACTCTCTCTTAGCTTTATGCGCCATTTTTTTCAACAGTATTTATTGAACAGCTTGTAAACACACACTCACATATATATACATATTGAAATCGTTTACAGTAAGTTTTGAACTTTGGAGCCGAAGCAATTTCAAATTGTCAAAGTCAATGAAGCGATAAAGCTTTGAGCGCCACCGCCCGCACTTTGCCCAGCTCACT